CCTATTGGTTTATAAGAGGGGTAATCCTCCCATTCAACAAAGCCTTATTGGGTGAAGAGTTAGACCCACCTCAAATTTTATCATGATATCAGAGCTAGGCCCAATTGAGCTGGGTGCTTGACCAGTGGGTGAGGAGTTAGAGCTAGCAACTACCTCCATCAACAGACATGACCCAAAGTCCCACACCGACTAGGTACGCTAAGCCTACTAGCTTGACTGTGAGAGGGAGTGTCGGAGTCCCACACCGACTAGGCACGCTAAGACTACTAGTTTATAATAGGGGGTAATCCTCTCATTCAACAAAGAGAGGATAATTCTCTTATTCAACAAAGCTTTATTGACTGAGAAGTAAGGCCCACCTCAAATTCTAACATGGTATCAAGTTGTCACCATGATACTATGGGCCCTATGAAATAATTCAAAAGATTAGGGAGGTGGCTTATAATCTTCGATTACCAGAGGGATCCAAGATTCATCCAGTCTTTCATGTCTCCCAACTAAAGAAATAATTGGGCTCAGAGACTATTGTTCAAAATGAATTTTAGGTGGCTCTAGAGGTAGAAGATGCAGCGATGGCCGAACCTCAGGCAGTTCTAGACAACCAAGTCTAGAAATAGCAGCGGGAGGTTTTGGTGCATTGGAAAGGATTATCTCCAATAGATGCTATTTGGGAGAATTTGGAGGTTCTACAGAGGTGATTTCTTGAAGTTTCCCTTGAGGGGGAAAAATTTAAAGGTGGAGGGATGTTAGGACTCTAAGTATTAGGATTTTTTGTTTTGATGTTTTGCCTATAGGAATAAGGATAAGGCAGTCCGAGTATGGAAGGATTGCTATCCAATTTATTTTTCCAGTTTTACTTAAATTGCTTTTTAATTCAGTTAGGGTCAACTAAGTAATTTACCCAACTCCTATTTCTACATGGAAAAGGAGAAGCTAGCATAAATAAGTGTTCTAGGTTGTAGTGGGGTTTATGATTTTTATTCAATAAAGCTTTGGCTTATTGAGGTAGTTTCCCTTGAAGTAAACCTTATCTCAATTATTATTCTGTTAAGACATTGCAAAAATAGGAAAAAGAAACCATTCCGTCGCGAGTTATGTTCGTTGTGCCAAGGTAACGTGCTCAACCCATCGGATCAAGCAACCCCCTCCTCCGACGCGTTTTACAAGGCAGTCCAACCGCACACACAACAAAAGAGGAATAGCAGAATGTTTAAAGTGTTTTCTAATAAATTAGATGAAATGGCCAGCAGTATCAGATGCCACCATAGTAAGTACGACATGATAATTGCTTGTTGAATGCTGGACAACACCACTCGTTTCCTAGAATTAGTACACTACCCCAATATTGTTCGGCTGCGTTTGGTTCAGTATTATTTTCCATATTCTGGACCAGATTTTTTAAATAATGTTTGGTTTATTATTTGCACAATCCAATCTTCATAATATTTTTTCTGACAGCTTTTTTGACTTTTTTTTTTTTTTTTTACCGTTGGCTTTTATTTTCCTCAGTTTGCAACCACCTGTTGGACAAACAAGGGAAGATTGTTATGGCATGTTGTGTACTTCATAATTTTATCAGAATGTATAATATAGACGACTGTATCTTCGAACAAACCAATAATAGTACGGGTAATGAGCAAGTATATTGTGATCATCAAAACGGGACAGAATATGGCCAAAATGGAGAAGGACCGAGTCAACCACAATAAGGTATTATAGACAACATGACAACTGTACGGGATAACATAACGAATGTACTGTGGGCAGCAGAGTGGACCATGTCGTAGTTGTTAATGGAGTAAATGTGTAAGAATGATTGTAGGGGTTGATAATTAGTACTTTTGTCATATATGTATTAATGTGATGTGTTTTAAACAGTTGGATTAGTACTTGAAATTAATATGGGTTTTTGTTTTTTAATATTTACGGGTGACAAAATTACGATTAAAATGTTTAATATTATTAAAATGTAACTAGATAAGTTATATATATATAATAATACATTATTTTAACAAAATGCAACAAAATATTATATTAATAAATCATTTATAAAATAATATATCAATCAAATATTCAACACAAATATCAAGGTCAAAATACTCTATCAAACACATATGCTGCAAATTTTATTCTCGTAATCATAACCCTACTCAACTATTCATTATTATTTCCAAAATCTTATCCAAAATAATGAACCAAACGCACCCGAAATTTTTTAATATTTCATCGACAAATTAATTAACATTGAACATGAAAACACCACAATTATATCACGAGCGAAAAAAAAAAAAAAAAAAAAGCAGCCTTAATCATCAAGGATATGTAGAAATTATATGCATGAATTTGTCCATTCATTCATAAATAAAATACAGTGAAATTTATTAAATTTGGTCATAGTCTGAAGAATTAGCAAAAACTCAATCCACAAAGAGAGATATTAGACGTACGATGTTCAACTTATTCTAATTAATTACATACATTTATAAATACAGTAAATTTTATTAAAATTTGGTCCTTAATTAAGGTTATTTATGGAGAACAAAATGTACTTTTAGAAAAATAAAAAGAAAATGATAATAAAAGAGGCTGTCCGACAAGCCTTACCTACCTCGTGTATGTAACAATGACGTTTTTTATTATTTAATTTAAGGCCGAACGACTTATACCTACCCAAGGTTTGGCGAGATGACGATTGATACTCAAAAGGTTTTAAAACGACAAACAGATACCTTTCATTAGTGAAAAGATTAGAATGCCCTTTGAGAAATATTAGTCTATTTTTTTAATTACTTTTAGACCCCTTACGTTTATTAATTCCATCAAATACCCCCAGAAAAAAGTTTAAAAATTAACAAAAATACCCTCACTCACCCATACTTGCTAGATTCCGGCGGCCACCGCCAGTGGTAGCTGGAATCTGTCACAACAGTCTACGCCACCACCGTAAATAGCTGGTAATTCACAGATTTGGCCGGAACAGATTCCGGTGGCCACCACCGGTGGTAGCCGGAATCTATCACAACGGTCTACGCCACCACCGTAAATAGCTGGTAATTCACGGATCTAGCCGAAAAAGGTTAGATCTGAAGTGAAAAGGCCAAATCTGGCCAGAAACTGACGGCCAAAGAAATGGCCTTCGTTGACTGTCAACGACGGCCAAATCTTGGCCATCGTTGATAGACAACGACGGTTAGATGGAGTGTTGCGGCCGTTGACGGTCAGATGGAGTGTTGCGGCCGTCGACGGCCAGATCTGACTGGAAAAGGCCAGATCGGTGAATTACCGGCCATTTCCAATGGTGGCATAGACTGTTGTGACATATTCCGGCTACCACCGGCTGTGGCCACGGGAATCTGGCAAGTATGGGTGGGTGGAGTGTTTTTGTTAATTTTTAAACTTTTTTTCTAGGGGTATTTGATGGAATTAATAAACTTAAGGGGTCTAAAAGTAATTAAAAAAATAGACTGATATTTCTCAAAGGGCATTCTAGTCTTTTCACTAACAGAAGGTATCTGTTTGTCGTCTTGAAACCTTTTGGGTACCAACCTGTCATTTTTCTAAACCTTGGGTATGTGTAAGTAGTTCCCCTTTAATTTAATTTCTCTCACCACTTTAAGGAAGCCATCGCTTCAACAGTAAAAATATTGTTCACATTTTATATAATTAAATTCAACGCATACATATTGATTGGAGTTTCTGGTATATTAGCTTTTCAGCTAACTGGAAGTTTATTCAGACTAATATATACTATAGATCGATAGAAATTTGGTAGTGATGGATGAACGGAAAGAAGAAATATATATAAGGTATCAAAAGATACAAACATAAAACCGATGGTTTGTGACAATGATTTTCTATATTGCTAATGAATAATTCATATATAAATTAATTATTTAACGTTGCCTTGCCCCTCTCTCCTGATTGTGTCCACTTTGTAGCCAATATAGCTTCTCAGGTGAGTGCCTATCGTGAACATTTGTTAGTCTTATAAATTAATGCAACATGTTCAATTGGCAGCAGATCGATATATTTGTCTATCATTTCACATGCAATTTAGATGCATTTAATATAATTTAAATGGAATATGATCTCTGGTGAGACAGTGGACTAACGGAATTTATAGATGAGTAAACGGCTTTTTCCCACCCAAGGTTTGCCTTAATGATACTTTTCCACCCAAAAAGTTTCAAAATACCACTTTTCTATCCAAAGTTTATTTTTTGTTTACTACCCAGAATAGATTTTCCAATTCGACGGCTAACAGAGAACAAACTTAGTCTAGGCTGTTGGGGCTTTTGAAGAGGACATGCCGGTTAATCATTTGGTGGTGGTAGGTTAGATTTTGGTGGTCGAGATTGGTTGAAATCTGACTTGGGAGGAGCGATTGTACATTTCACAAATCACTCGATTGCCGGCGATTAACGGGGTAAGTGGGAGCAAGGTTTGAGTGGTTTTGGTGAATGATGATTGAGAAAGAGAATGGTAGTAGTTTGGAGTTGAAAAGATGTTGGAATCGATCGAAAATTAGTCAGAATATAAACATTGGGTGGAAAAATGGTATTTTGAAACTTTTTGGGTGAAAAGTGATTAAGGCAAACCTTGGGTGGGAAAATGGCGTTTACTCTTTATAGATTAACCTCGGTAGAAAAGTAAAAAAACTTCGTAGACGCAATAATAATATTATAATAATAATCTTTCTCAAGTAAATAATTAATAATTAATAACATACTAAATGAGGGTAGAAAACAAACATATATATCAAAAAGGAGAATAAATCAAGCCGTCTTTGAAACATAAATTATAAAAATGTCTCCTCATCTTTAATTACTTGTGATCTCTTGGTTTTGGTAACTAACAAATCTCATATTAAGAGAGTGTTGGGGCTAACTAGTCACATGTGTTTTAATCAAAGCGACAGTATATAACTTCTAAAATAAGGATCATTTCCTGTGCATGAAAAAGTGTAATAGAAAGTGGAATAACGAGATAATACTGTAAAATGAACTATTAAAATCAGCAAAAGCTGTATTTTTAAATATATCCACTAGTTATTGTTGGACAACACACTAATATGAATAACAAGGGATAGAGAGCAGCTCGTATGGTAGAGTAATAATGTTTGTTGTTTGCTACTCAATTATAACATAATAATGTTTTGTTATAAATATTCAAATAAAAGCAAAGATAGGCTTCATTCCTTCATCTATACAAGCATCCTCTATATGCGGGTGTCCAGTAATCTGATCCCGTGTTCTCATGATAAACTTTTGGAGTACATGAAACTGGAACTAAGCAAAGACCCCTGCTCCTTAGATCAATCTTCACATCTCCCTTTTCTTTTCGATCTAAACCTCCCCATGGATCCTGAAATAACCCACAAAACAATTAATACCAATATATCAATTTTGTTTTTCTATATTGGCCTGGAAATGCAATAAGAAATAGTCAAAAACCTTGCTCACCTTGTGTAAATTAGACTTCATGTAGGGATTACTCAACAGCTGCGAAAAGGTAAAAAGCGATGGCTGTTAGAAAACAATGCTAAAAGGAGATTGCTTCATTTATATATTCATCTAATTCCAATAGCAAGTTAGCTACAGCCAACGATTTATATAGCTATTTTCTTAATTATAGAATTATGCTAAGTACCATTATTGCAATATATATTTAATCATTTAGTTCATTGAACGAAAAATGATTAAGAATTCATTAATGTTCTTCTAATCATTGACATTTACTTGGGTAATACGCGCCATGAACAGGAATACCAATAGCAACATCCATAACAAGATCGAAGATGACAAAGATATATATATATATATATATATATATATATATTCTATTGATAGTGCAGTGGTGCAGGTTGTACAGATTAATTGTTCTATATGTTTTAAGAAGACATATAATTGAATAGTGGTATTACCTGCACTTGCTCTTGTAAAGACTTTATATAAATAATGGCTTCGTATAGCACAGAGGCCGTGTCAGTCTGAAAATTAGCCACATCAATTTAATAAACAAAAGTTAGGATATTAAAAAAATTTAAAGAAAAACCCAAAGTTGATAAAGAAGAAAGTAGTCTCAGTGGTCTTTGTATTAACCTTTCCAAAAGGTGACACTATTTGCTGAAGGGCCGTGATCCTGTCCCCAAGCTTGACTTTTGGTGCCTGCACCGATTAAATTAGTCTAACGAAGTTTCTATCCAGTAACAAAAATGACCCTATTCTTTCTTTCTATATATTACATAAATATTTCTTTTTATTAATAAGTACACAATTATTATGATTTTACCTTATTTACCTTTAAAGAGGAAGATGCAGAACTCTCAGTCTTGGGTTTTTTTAAAACTGCCTCTGAATTTTGTTCAGACCTTTTCTTCTTCCATTCATTAGTTCCCCGTTCCCTTCCGTTCATTGTTGTCTGCTTGTAAATTTGAATAGTAATTAATAAATGTTGGGCTTGAATCATACGCAAACAATAGAATAATTAGAAAAAAGGATAATAATTTAAGAGAATTGTAAAACAAATAAGTAAATATAACGTACCGGAGAAGAAGTTCGCTTCTTACAATCGGATAGATTCAAGGATTTAAAATAGGGTTTTGGAACATGGATATCAATTAATGGCTTGGTTAATCGACTACTGAGAGTTATAGCATCGGCAAAATTTCTGGCGTTTGTACAGTACTGAGAATGAGACATTCCATAGTAGTATTTGTTGTCACCTTCCACCATTGAATTAGTACTGTTGAGGCCAACATGATTATTTCCAAGGCCACCTGTATTAAAAGACTTTCCGATAAAAGATGTGGGTGTGTCACAATCTTGATGTTCATTTTCCACCTTCAAATCATGGTGACCATAATATGATAAAATTCCTGAATTTCTTGTCGTCCCACTTGGGGTAGAATCAGCGAATAACCTTGGTTTCATATGACAAAAATTAGGCTGTGAATTATATTGATGATCCATTGATGAACTCAAAGATATATTGCATGTTTGCGGATCGAAGTGGCGATTGATTTCTGGGTCTGGTGGAGCAATAGACCAGTGGCTCACCAAGTTGGACAACTTATTTAACCTTTCATTTTCAGTGGAGCTTTCACTAAAGCCACCATTTAAATGTTTGTCAAAGTCGTTGAAGGATGAGGAGTTTGTGAATTCCCAATTGGTGTCCATTTTCTTCAAGTAATCATAGGCAGGTTCGAATATCCCAATTGATATACTCTTTGACGACAGTGCATCAAGTAAGTTCGCTCCCACATCTTGACTGTTGTGCAAATCTCCATTGCTTCCAACACTTCTGCAAAATTAAACCCAAAATATTAAATTTTCCAAACTCGAAAAGAATTCTTCAATCATTTACAAAAGAAAAGAAAAGAAAAGAAAAGAAAAATATGAACTAGTTGATGAGTTGTTTTACGAGAGCCAATCAACATACCATTTAAAAAATGAATAATTATGTGGTTTTGATGTGTAAGTGAGAGTTGAGGTGGTAAATAATATATATCAATGTCAATACATCATGATGAGAAATTTGGAATTTGATTTGAGTAGTATTACTCTTATGTTTCCCTCCGAATTGTGACTAGACGGGATGTAAACTGAAATGTCTTAAGTTTAAGAACCGGACACCATCCACAGAGTAATTGATAAACTTATAAGGATAAGAATAGAAAAGAAGTTCACATCTTAGATAAAAACTAAGAAATATAAGTGAAAAGGGACAAACCTAACTATTGAACCTTCCTCTCTTTGTATACCTACCCATGATAATATAATTTCTCTTCTTTTCCCTTTGCCAAAAGAAAGACTCGTCTTTCTACTCAATATAATTGAAACATATATACATAAAGCAAGAACAAAAACTATAAAACGAAAAAAGAGCAAAGGGCTAACACTATATATTCTTTTCAACATTAAACTTACGATAATACATGACTCCAGAGATGATTATCGGGAGTATGTTCTCCAATCAACTCAGTGGAAGACGCAGGTTCATGAACAAGTCTGTGAGAGGAGTCCACAGTAAGTCCAGACTGATTGGAGGCATAAGTAAAGGAGGTGGAGATGGAAACTTCCTCCTCACAAGAGGAGTTTGAATTAATATTTTTTTGGTGCCAGGGGGTGCTGCCGGTATTATTCCATGAAGAAAGAGAAGTTGCATGATGAAGATCCCACCAATTCGGTGGCGAAGGGGAGGTTGTAACAGAGCTCTCAGTGCATTCTTTAGCCATTTGATGATCAGTATTAGCCTTCCTCTCTCACTTTCTTTTAGGCTTTGGTGGGGAGATGGGGAATTTAAGGAGGATAATTCATAAATCCATTCATCCGTTGGTGGTGACGTACGTTTGTAGGTTATATGAATTATAGGGGGACAATTAAATATGCAGCCTGAAGTTTTCCACTTTGGCTCGTGGGCAATTATTATAATCCTGACTGTCCCACCAAGAGTTTTGCTTTGGTGACCATGAAATTGTAGGTGGACAAATATTTTTAGGGTTTATATATAATGTTGTGAGTATGACAGGGGCCTGACTCTGCCACTACTTAGAATATTTAGGGTAGTTAATGTTTTAAAAAGAAAACATTTGCAAATTGCAATGAAATTATAATACAAATTCGCTTTGGGCTCTTCCCTTTCTAGCTATTACAAGTACTAATGAGTAGTAAAAGAAAATATATGGAAGTTTGATTTGTCTTCCTAAAATTATTACAAAGGTAGGAAGGTAGCAACGGATAGCAGCCAAACTTGTTTCTCTATTTTTTTTTTTTTCTTCCCAACCCATTTTTTTAAAATATAAATATTTCTCAAAGAATTGAACCAAGAGAAGTCATGACATTTGTCTGGACATTATTAATTGTGCACTTCTGTGTTATGGGACTGGTTAATTGTTGGTTTCATATTTTTTTTTTTTCTTTAGTTTCTTAATATCATGGCGACCTCCTGTCGATAATTTTTTATGATGGAAAGCAGATTATTCGTTTCCAAGCATTTAAATAAACACAAATGAAACTCTGACAAGCATCCTCTATATGCGGGTGTCCAGTAATCTGATCCCGTGTTCTCATGATAAACTTTTGGAGTACATGAAACTGGAACTAAGCAAAGACCCCTGCTCCTTAGATCAATCTTCACATCTCCCTTTTCTTTTCGATCTAAACCTCCCCATGGATCCTGAAATAACCCACAAAACAATTAATACCAATATATCAATTTTGTTTTTCTATATTGGCCTGGAAATGCAATAAGAAATAGTCAAAAACCTTGCTCACCTTGTGTAAATTAGACTTCATGTAGGGATTACTCAACAGCTGCGAAAAGGTAAAAAGCGATGGCTGTTAGAAAACAATGCTAAAAGGAGATTGCTTCATTTATATATTCATCTAATTCCAATAGCAAGTTAGCTACAGCCAACGATTTATATAGCTATTTTCTTAATTATAGAATTATGCTAAGTACCATTATTGCAATATATATTTAATCATTTAGTTCATTGAACGAAAAATGATTAAGAATTCATTAATGTTCTTCTAATCATTGACATTTACTTGGGTAATACGCGCCATGAACAGGAATACCAATAGCAACATCCATAACAAGATCGAAGATGACAAAGATATATATATATATATATATATATATATATATTCTATTGATAGTGCAGTGGTGCAGGTTGTACAGATTAATTGTTCTATATGTTTTAAGAAGACATATAATTGAATAGTGGTATTACCTGCACTTGCTCTTGTAAAGACTTTATATAAATAATGGCTTCGTATAGCACAGAGGCCGTGTCAGTCTGAAAATTAGCCACATCAATTTAATAAACAAAAGTTAGGATATTAAAAAAATTTAAAGAAAAACCCAAAGTTGATAAAGAAGAAAGTAGTCTCAGTGGTCTTTGTATTAACCTTTCCAAAAGGTGACACTATTTGCTGAAGGGCCGTGATCCTGTCCCCAAGCTTGACTTTTGGTGCCTGCACCGATTAAATTAGTCTAACGAAGTTTCTATCCAGTAACAAAAATGACCCTATTCTTTCTTTCTATATATTACATAAATATTTCTTTTTATTAATAAGTACACAATTATTATGATTTTACCTTATTTACCTTTAAAGAGGAAGATGCAGAACTCTCAGTCTTGGGTTTTTTTAAAACTGCCTCTGAATTTTGTTCAGACCTTTTCTTCTTCCATTCATTAGTTCCCCGTTCCCTTCCGTTCATTGTTGTCTGCTTGTAAATTTGAATAGTAATTAATAAATGTTGGGCTTGAATCATACGCAAACAATAGAATAATTAGAAAAAAGGATAATAATTTAAGAGAATTGTAAAACAAATAAGTAAATATAACGTACCGGAGAAGAAGTTCGCTTCTTACAATCGGATAGATTCAAGGATTTAAAATAGGGTTTTGGAACATGGATATCAATTAATGGCTTGGTTAATCGACTACTGAGAGTTATAGCATCGGCAAAATTTCTGGCGTTTGTACAGTACTGAGAATGAGACATTCCATAGTAGTATTTGTTGTCACCTTCCACCATTGAATTAGTACTGTTGAGGCCAACATGATTATTTCCAAGGCCACCTGTATTAAAAGACTTTCCGATAAAAGATGTGGGTGTGTCACAATCTTGATGTTCATTTTCCACCTTCAAATCATGGTGACCATAATATGATAAAATTCCTGAATTTCTTGTCGTCCCACTTGGGGTAGAATCAGCGAATAACCTTGGTTTCATATGACAAAAATTAGGCTGTGAATTATATTGATGATCCATTGATGAACTCAAAGATATATTGCATGTTTGCGGATCGAAGTGGCGATTGATTTCTGGGTCTGGTGGAGCAATAGACCAGTGGCTCACCAAGTTGGACAACTTATTTAACCTTTCATTTTCAGTGGAGCTTTCACTAAAGCCACCATTTAAATGTTTGTCAAAGTCGTTGAAGGATGAGGAGTTTGTGAATTCCCAATTGGTGTCCATTTTCTTCAAGTAATCATAGGCAGGTTCGAATATCCCAATTGATATACTCTTTGACGACAGTGCATCAAGTAAGTTCGCTCCCACATCTTGACTGTTGTGCAAATCTCCATTGCTTCCAACACTTCTGCAAAATTAAACCCAAAATATTAAATTTTCCAAACTCGAAAAGAATTCTTCAATCATTTACAAAAGAAAAGAAAAGAAAAGAAAAGAAAAATATGAACTAGTTGATGAGTTGTTTTACGAGAGCCAATCAACATACCATTTAAAAAATGAATAATTATGTGGTTTTGATGTGTAAGTGAGAGTTGAGGTGGTAAATAATATATATCAATGTCAATACATCATGATGAGAAATTTGGAATTTGATTTGAGTAGTATTACTCTTATGTTTCCCTCCGAATTGTGACTAGACGGGATGTAAACTGAAATGTCTTAAGTTTAAGAACCGGACACCATCCACAGAGTAATTGATAAACTTATAAGGATAAGAATAGAAAAGAAGTTCACATCTTAGATAAAAACTAAGAAATATAAGTGAAAAGGGACAAACCTAACTATTGAACCTTCCTCTCTTTGTATACCTACCCATGATAATATAATTTCTCTTCTTTTCCCTTTGCCAAAAGAAAGACTCGTCTTTCTACTCAATATAATTGAAACATATATACATAAAGCAAGAACAAAAACTATAAAACGAAAAAAGAGCAAAGGGCTAACACTATATATTCTTTTCAACATTAAACTTACGATAATACATGACTCCAGAGATGATTATCGGGAGTATGTTCTCCAATCAACTCAGTGGAAGACGCAGGTTCATGAACAAGTCTGTGAGAGGAGTCCACAGTAAGTCCAGACNAAGAAAAGAAAAGAAAAATATGAACTAGTTGATGAGTTGTTTTACGAGAGCCAATCAACATACCATTTAAAAAATGAATAATTATGTGGTTTTGATGTGTAAGTGAGAGTTGAGGTGGTAAATAATATATATCAATGTCAATACATCATGATGAGAAATTTGGAATTTGATTTGAGTAGTATTACTCTTATGTTTCCCTCCGAATTGTGACTAGACGGGATGTAAACTGAAATGTCTTAAGTTTAAGAACCGGACACCATCCACAGAGTAATTGATAAACTTATAAGGATAAGAATAGAAAAGAAGTTCACATCTTAGATAAAAACTAAGAAATATAAGTGAAAAGGGACAAACCTAACTATTGAACCTTCCTCTCTTTGTATACCTACCCATGATAATATAATTTCTCTTCTTTTCCCTTTGCCAAAAGAAAGACTCGTCTTTCTACTCAATATAATTGAAACATATATACATAAAGCAAGAACAAAAACTATAAAACGAAAAAAGAGCAAAGGGCTAACACTATATATTCTTTTCAACATTAAACTTACGATAATACATGACTCCAGAGATGATTATCGGGAGTATGTTCTCCAATCAACTCAGTGGAAGACGCAGGTTCATGAACAAGTCTGTGAGAGGAGTCCACAGTAAGTCCAGACTGATTGGAGGCATAAGTAAAGGAGGTGGAGATGGAAACTTCCTCCTCACAAGAGGAGTTTGAATTAATATTTTTTTGGTGCCAGGGGGTGCTGCCGGTATTATTCCATGAAGAAAGAGAAGTTGCATGATGAAGATCCCACCAATTCGGTGGCGAAGGGGAGGTTGTAACAGAGCTCTCAGTGCATTCTTTAGCCATTTGATGATCAGTATTAGCCTTCCTCTCTCACTTTCTTTTAGGCTTTGGTGGGGAGATGGGGAATTTAAGGAGGATAATTCATAAATCCATTCATCCGTTGGTGGTGACGTACGTTTGTAGGTTATATGAATTATAGGGGGACAATTAAATATGCAGCCTGAAGTTTTCCACTTTGGCTCGTGGGCAATTATTATAATCCTGACTGTCCCACCAAGAGTTTTGCTTTGGTGACCATGAAATTGTAGGTGGACAAATATTTTTAGGGTTTATATATAATGTTGTGAGTATGACAGGGGCCTGACTCTGCCACTACTTAGAATATTTAGGGTAGTTAATGTTTTAAAAAGAAAACATTTGCAAATTGCAATGAAATTATAATACAAATTCGCTTTGGGCTCTTCCCTTTCTAGCTATTACAAGTACTAATGAGTAGTAAAGGAAAATATATGGAAGTTTGATTTGTCTTCCTAAAATTATTACAAAGGTAGGAAGGTAGCAACGGATAGCAGCCAAACTTGTTTCTCTATTTTTTTTTTTTTCTTCCCAACCCATTTTTTTAAAATATAAATATTTCTCAAAGAATTGAACCAAGAGAAGTCATGACATTTGTCTGGACATTATTAATT